GTGGTCACTTGAACAAAACCCGATAACCTAACCTAACCTAACCTAACCTAACCTACCCTATTGATAAAGCTATTTAAATAATGTTTTATATAACTTTCTCAATATTTTTATGTATTTTTCATTAGTTTTACCTTTGAATATTGTTTAAGAATAACTACATAAATATTTACATGCCTAGAAATGTATAAAAATTGGCATATTTATTAACTTTGAACCCCCATAACTTCTTTTTATGGGGGTGAGACCGCCACGAACTTTTTATGGTACAGTGGTGGGGGAGACCTCCTCTTTCGATCCCCCTCACCCCATCATCTAGACCTTTACCAACAGTTTATATTTAATAAAAACAATTAGATTCAGATTTCAAAGTGTAGCTTTGCTAGTTATAAGATTTCTAGAATCGGTTAAATAGTCCCAGAGATTACCGCCTATTTGTAAATAGTATCTAAATAAACTTAGAAATTCACCCCTCAATAGTATTGTTGTAGATTCTGATTATTGTTTTAATCTTTTGACGACAAACTACTGACTGTATATCGATTTCAATCTTATTTCGTTTCAAAATTCAAAATCTCTATCTTTGGACAATAGAACTTACTGCGAAACCGTAAAAAAAGATCGTACAATTAAAATTTGATCAGTATCAGTGTTCTTTACGTTTTAATTCCAGCTTTAGTTTCCGGTCACATGATCGATAGAATGGGAAGAAAGCCTCTTCTTCTGGTTTCGTCGTTTAGCTGTGCAGTAGCCCTTTTCGCAGAAGGGACATACTTTTACCTAAAGGAAGCAAAGCACGCGAATGTTGAATACCTTTTCTGGCTACCAACAACCTCGCTTGTGATCTACAAGATGATGGTGACGTTGGGCATCACAACTTTGCCCTACATCATCATGGGCGAGCTGTTTACCATGAATATTAAGGAGATTGCCGCTTCTTCCAGTTCAGTGTACGGTTTCGTGTTGGGTTTCCTGATGAACTACTTGCACCAGCCGGTAAGCGACCACTGGGGCAGTTACACGATCTTTTGGACGTATGCAACGTCGTGTCTTGTGGGCGGAATCTTTATTTTTATTTTACTACCCGAAACCAAAGGAAAAACTTTCGCGGAAATACAGACTATACTTAAAAGTAATAATAATAATAATAATAGTGATAAGAAAGTTCAGTTCACATGATTTATTGTATATATTTATTTTTATCTTTGCCTATTTATACGAATACTTTATCTATTTCTGTTACCGTTACTAATAAAATAATTTACAATCGGAAAAACCTTCTTTCAATTAATTAATACCATAATTAATTAAAAGCCACATGGTAACAACACAATATTCATTTATCCATTGGGTTGTTCTCCAATTAGGTGTGGTATTAACTATTTATTTATTAAAATAAAATAATTCGAAGTGGTCTGTATTCTGTCGTTTTGGATCTCAT